GCAGCCTAAGTAGGGTGGCCCAGACTTCCTTCTCCCCAGCCACTTGGGCCAGCTCCTCCGGGGAAATCCCTAGGCGTTCCCAGGCCAGCCGAGAAACATAATCCCTCCAGCGTGTCCTGGGTCTTCCTCTGGGCCTCTTACCGGTGGGACGTGTCCGGAACACCTCACCAGGGAGGCGTCAAGGAGGCATCCTAAAAAGATGCCTGAGCCACCCCAACTGGCTCCTCTCAATGTGGAGAAGCAGCGCCTCTACTCTGAGTCTCTCCCGGATGATCGAGCTTCTCACCCTATCTCTAAGGGGGAGCCCAGAAACCGTGCGGAGAAAACTCATTTCGGCCGCTTGTATCCGAGATCTCATTCTTTCGGTCATAACCCAAAGCTCATGACCACAGATGAGGGTGGGAACGTAGATCGATCGGTAAATTGAGAGCTTTGCCTTTTGACTCAGCTCTCTCTTCATAACGACAGACCTGTACAGCGCCCGCTTCACTGCAGATGCTACACCTATTCACCTATCGATCTCACGCTCCATTTTTCCCTCATTCGTTAACAAGACCCAAGATACTTGAACTCCTCCACTTGGGGCAGGACCTCCTCCCTGACCCGGAGAGGGCACTCTATCCTTTTCCGGCTCAAGAACATGGCCTCGGATTTGGAGGAACTGATCCTCATCCCGGCCGAGTTGCTGTCGGCTGCGAACCGCTCCATCGAAAGCTGTAGATCACGATCTGATGAAGCCAATAGGACAACATCATCTGCAAAAAGCAGAGAAGCAATCCTAATGCCACCAAAATGGGTCCCCTCAACACCTTGGCTGCACCTAGAAATTCTGTCCATAAAAGTTATGAACAGAATCGGTGACAAAGGGCAACCTTGGCGGAGTCCAACTCTCACTGGGAACAAGCCCGACTTACTGCCGGCAATGTGGACCAGGCTCTGACACCGGTCAAACAGGGACCTGACAGCCCGTATCAAAGGGCCCGGTACCACATACTCCCAGAGTACGCCCACAGGGTTCCCCGAGGGACGCGGTTGAACGCCTTCTCCAAGTCCACAAAGCACACGTAGACCAGTTGGGCAAACTCCCACGCACCCTCCAGGACCCTGCTGAGTGTGTAGAGCTGGTCCAGTGTTCCACGACCAGCACGAAAACCACTTCTCCTGCTGAATAAGAGGTTCGACTATCCGACGGACCCTCCTCTCCAGAACCCCCAAACAGACCTTACCAGGGAGGCTAAAGAGTGTGATCCCCCTGTAGTTGGAACACACTATACGGTCCCCCTTTTTGAATAGGGGGACCAACACCCCGGTCTGCCAATCCAGGGGAACTTCCCTCGATATCCACGCAATACTGCAGAGTCGCGTAAGCCAACGCAACATCAAAAGCCTTAAGGAACTCTGGGCGAATCTCATCCACCCCTGGGGCCCTGCCACCGAGGAGCTTTTTAACCACCTCGGTGACCTCAGCTCCAGAGATTGGAGGGCCTGACCCAGAGTCCCCAGGCTCTGCTTCCTCAGTGGAAGACATGCCGGTGAGATTGAGGAGGTCTTCAAAGTATTATGCGCACCGACCCATGACATCCCGAGTTGAGGCCAGCAGCGCACCACTCCCACTATAAACAGCGTTGGTGGTGTACCGCTTTCCCCCACTGAGACGTCGGATGGTGGACCAGAATCGCCTCGAAGCCGTGCGGAAGTCATTCTCCATGGCCTCTCCAAACTCCTCCCATGCCCGAGTTTTTGCCTCAGCGACCACCCGAGCCGCATGTTGCTTGGACTGCCGGTACCCATCAGCTGCTTCCAGGGTTCCACAGGCCAAAAAGGCCTGATAGGACTCCTTCTTCAGCCTGACAGCATCCCTCACTGACGATGTCCACCACCGGGTTCGAGGGTTGCCACCATGACAGGCACCAACAACCTTGCGGCCGCAGCTCCATTAAGCTGCCTCGACAATAGAGGCACGGAAAATGGCCCACTCAGACTCAATGTCCCCTACCTCCCCTGGAACATGTTCAAAGCTCTCCCAGAGGTGGGAGTTAAAACTCCGTCTCACAGGTGACTCTGCTAGATGTTCCCAGCAAACCCTCACAACACATTTAGGTCTGCCAGGTCTGACCGGCATCCTCCCCCACTATCAGTGCCAACTCACCACCAGGTAGTGGTCAGTGGACAGCTCCACCCCTCTCTTCACCCGAGTGTCCAAGACATGCAGCCGCAGATCAGATGAGACGATGACAAAGTCGATCTTCAAACTGCGGCTTAGGGTGTCCTGGTGCCAAGAGCACATATGGACACCCTTATGCTTGAACATGGTGTTCGTTTTTGACAATCGATGACAAGCACAGAAGTCCAACAACAGAACACCACACGGGTTCAGTTCAGGGGGGCGTTCTTCCCAATCACACCCCTCCAGGTCTCACTGTCATTGCCCACGTGAGCATTGAAGTTCCCCAGCAGAACAAGGGAGTCCCCAGGAGGTGCACTTTCCAGTACCCCTTCCAAGGACTCCAAAAAGGGTGGATAATCTGAACTGCCGTTTGGTGCATAAGCACAAACGACAGTCAGAACCCGTCCCCCCACACGTAGGCGTAGGGAGGCCACTCTCTCATTCACCGGGGTGAACCCCAACAAACAGGCACCAAGATGGGGGACAATAAGTATGCCCACTCCTGCTCAGCGCCTCTCACCAGGGGCAACTCCAGAGTGGAAGAGTGTCCAGTCCATCTCAAGAAAACTGGTTCCAAAGCCAGAGCCATGCGTAGTGGTGAGTCCGACTATTTCTAGCCGGAACCTCTCAACCTCATACACCAGCTCAGGCTCCTTCCCCACCAGTGAGGTGACATTCCACGTCCCAATAGCCAGCTTCTGTAGCCTAGGATCAGACCACCAGGGTCCCCGCCCTCGGCCACCACCCATCCCACATTGCACCCGACCCCTTTGGCCCCTCCCACAGGTGGTGAGCCCATGGGAAGGGGAACCCACGTCTCCTCTTCGGGCTGTGCCCAGCCGTGCTCCATGGATAAAAGCCCGGCAACCAGGCGCTCGCCCGCTTGCCCCACCTCCAGGCCTGGCTCCAGAGTGGGGCCCTGGTGACCCACGTCTGGGTGAGGGAACATCAAGTCCATTTATTTTACTCATCATAGGGGTGTTTTTGTTGCACTTTGTCTGGTCCCTCACCTAGGACCTGTCTGCGTTAGGTGACCCTACTAGGGGCGTAAAGCCCAGGAAAGCATATCTCCTAGGACAATTGGGACACTCAAACTCCTCCACCACGGTAAGATGGCAGCCCAGTTTATGTATATTTATATATACATTTATATATTCATATATA